ATTCTCGTTTTCTGCATATATGTTTACATATTCCTGGTACACAACGGGGGAAACCCCGTGAGTACGCAAAGAGAGAAAGGATCCAGGAACTTACCGGTGAAGAAGTAAACTCGGGACGGCTTCGTAGTACACCTCGGAGAACGGGAATGACGAAGGCGGAAGTTCAGCAAAGCAGGGTTCCGGCAAAAGTACGGATGTCCCGGCAAAGCAGCGGCAAGAAGTTTTTTTGAAGTTTCGAAGAAGGAAAAAATGATCCTCAGGTCCATGGAGAGTATTTAAAGAGTCGGGAAAAAAGACCCCCCCCAACCGTCGGATGAAGACCCCGAAAAAACCAACGGCCAGGGATCACTCTCCGTATCTGACGGAAAGGGAAAGGGCGGAAAATTGAAAAGATGCGGATCCGACGATCTATATTCATTTTCTTGAAACACGGATACTCATCATTATGCCAGATCAATCGACGCGACGGTTATACACCCAAGGCACCCAGGCCATCATTGCGGACGGAGGTTCGGGACCGATTTCCCACACCCGAAGCACTGAAAGGTGAAACGGCTAGCTAAAGTAGGGTCACGTAAATAAACTTTCATACGTATTTCAACACCTACAGCAACATATATATCATTAACGTTACTGTTGTGTGGGAAAATGTGATGTACACCTAGACCAACGGCGCCACGATACGTGGCTATACTTGCTTTCTGCCGAGCACCCAACCCTCGACGCTTCGTTTCCCTCACGATCAGCTATAGAGCCCGAAGATGAAGTCCATGATTAGGGCGACGACCCCATGAGACGTCGACGGTTGATTCCGCCTGGGTCGACACGACAAAATCCCTCGACAGCAGAAGAGATCACTAGAAAGGGCGAGAAAGGTTAAACAACCACTGACGACGAGGGGAACGTCCTTTTTCGACATAATGGGTTACATGCAAAGATAAGAGAGGTCTGACAGCATTTATTGCAAGTTTACAAACCGCACCCCCCAGGGGACAGAAAAGCATTACGGAGACTCACAGAGCCGTAATAGAAGACTAATTGGTTGAGTGAACAGTACTGATTAGTGGGCTATGTCTGGTCCTAGAGCACTTGAGTGTTCCTACCTACGAAGGAAACCCACCCAGCGAAGGCAGTCCAAGTATAAAAGAAGAAGGACCCCAAGAGGGAAGGGGGCCAGAAAAAATTCTAAAAGAAAAAAGAACGAGAGAGAGAGAGATAGCATTCATTGTAAACTACGATCTCTACCAATGAAATATAATATATACAGTGGATGTAGCTCTAATATTATAGAGTGAACCACTATAAAATTCTTCCTGCTCATTTACATACAGTTGGTTCAAACACAAAAATACTTAAATCAAACTAGAATCCACACTTTCATTAACCCCACAAGCCGGTAATCCTAATGGTAACTTCAAGGTATTCCGGCGGGTTTATTGTTGACGAAATCTAACCGTCAACAATAACAAACAAAACAAATGTGTAGATGATCTGGTCACTAGATTTTGAAATAATAAAATTTAACCCACCAGCTTAGCAAATTATTCTATTTTCACAAGAGAGTCTTAAATTTTTGAAATTAGTAAAAACAGAGCGTCAAAATCCTGACCATTTTCTCCCTTGGAGCAAAGAAAATTAGAACAATTGAAACAGAGTTATTTTCTATAAAATTATAGAGTGAACCACTATAAAATTCTTCCTGCTCATTTACATACAGTTGGTTCAAACACAAAAATACTTAAATCAAACTAGAATCCACACTTTCATTAACCCCACAAGCCGGTAATCCTAATGGTAACTTCAAGGTATTCCGGCGGGTTTATTGTTGACGAAATCTAACCGTCAACAATAACAAACAAAACAAATGTGTAGATGATCTGGTCACTAGATTTTGAAATAATAAAATTTAACCCACCAGCTTAGCAAATTATTCTATTTTCACAAGAGAGTCTTAAATTTTTGAAATTAGTAAAAACAGAGCGTCAAAATCCTGACCATTTTCTCCCTTGGAGCAAAGAAAATTAGAACAATTGAAACAGAGTTATTTTCTAAAAATTCGTAATATTAAGCAAAAAAAAGAAAGCTCTTTAACACTCCTAAAAACTATTGATGTTGTGACAATTTAATATTTAATTTCATTTAATTTTCTTAAACTAAAATGTTTTGGACAGTTTCCTTCCCTAAGTGATCTAGGTTTAACTATGAATTTTAAAAGTCTTAACAGAAATAATGTACGCGTTTATAGTATAATAAGTTAAGATTTTACACTATAAAAAAAGCTAAAAAATGCAAAACACTCTAAAAATGGGGCATTTTGCATCTATAACGTGACCAATAAGGACCTTAAAAAAGAGCTCTTTAATTGATTGAGAAAAAAGAAAAAGCGATAAGCATAATAAATAAGCCTGGCGAGGCAAACGACAGACAGTCAAATATAGTCTGAGCTGGTAAACAGTGAGTTTAATGAGATATGATTCGGTACGTGTGTTTTTAACGTTGTCGAATTTTCTCACTTCTTAACCTGCCCGCTTGACCTGACAAAGAAACAAACAATGAAACAAAGAGAAAAAGATAGACATTAAACACACCCCACCCGACAGACACGCACACGAATTTCTCCTTCTGATCTAAATAATAATCCTCGTTTTTTTGGTTGCTAATATTAAACTCCCAATATCAATCTCAATCTAAATCTCAATCTCCCTCCAAATCCTCTCATAAACACATAAAAAGTTTTCCCAGAAACCAAACAACGTACTACAGACAATTTAATTTCAAAAAATTTTGATGGGTGGGTTGCGGGAGAGGGTGAAGGGGTTGGTGAGCAACAGATGGCTGGTTTTCGTGGCGGCAATGTGGCTGCAATCGGTGGCGGGGGTCGGCTACTTGTTCGGCAGCATTTCTCCGGTGATCAAGAGCTCTCTCAACTACAACCAAAGGCAGGTCTCCAGGCTCGGTGTCGCCAAGGACCTCGGTGACAGCGTCGGCTTCTTCGCCGGCAGTCTCTGCGAGTTCTTGCCTCTCTGGGCCGCTCTTTTCGTCGGCGCTCTCAAGAACTTCGTCGGCTACGGCTGGGTTTGGCTCATCGTCACTGGTCGAGCTCCCGTTTTGCCTCTCTGGGCTGTGAGTATTCTTTTTCTTATTTGGTGTCTTTTGTTTATTATCTTCTCAATCCAATCTTTTTTTTCTGATCTGATAAAACTTTCAACTTTTGTGCTTGATTGGATCTAGTTTTTCGGTTTTGGGTTTTTGATCGATTGCCAAATGATTGATTCTCTCCTAGTTTCCTTATTGGGTAGAAGAATATGCTTTCTGGTTTTGGTTTTTGGTTATTTTGGGGACTTTGAGGAATGTTTTCTATTGGTATTGTTACATCAGTTTTCTCAAAGTCAAAGGGTGGTATGGTGGTCACTTTATTTCAGTAAGGAAAAGTGTTTGAAGATTGGAAAGAGTTCTTTATATGGATTTGGAAACACTTTCTTTTTTCATCTTTCTCTTATCCTTGTCCAGATCCAAAACAGAGCCTAATAATGGAATTTGAGAATTGAGTTTGTCGTTTATTACATGCTAGAGCTACCCGGTAGTTATTTGCTGGATTAGCTACACCTTATTTTCCTAGAGCTTTAATTCTGTAGACAAAAATACCTTTGCAATTTCCATGATTTAGAGTGTTGGGATGGTAACGATTCAAGTTCTAAACCTGATTTTTAGCTCTAATCCATTAGAGTGAACCGCGAATTGTCCCTGGGGACAATGAGCTCATATTGCTCCCGTTTGTTAGTTTGTCGTACATGCGAAAACCGCACTGATTCCGGGTATCTTTCTAACGGGGATTAGCATATCATTATAGTGCTCCATTCATTCAGGAAAGATATGAAATTTTGGTGAAAAGGGTAAATTTCACTTGTATGTGGACAGTAGGAAGTCCAAGATATGAATCTATTTTCAATTGCCAAATGGAGTTGTGTATTCGTTCTCTCATTTTCAATGCAATTATGTGTTTGTCACACGTGTGGCTTACTGTTATGCGCTTGTCACGATTTTGGAGTCTTTAACTCGAATTTCTACTCTGTTAAGAACATGAGGATATGAAACTTCTGATTCCATTACACTTGTAGCTTGGTTAGGCATTTAACGCGCGTCAATGTGCAGATGTGTATCCTTATATTTGTGGGGACAAATGGTGAGACCTACTTCAATACGGCTGCTCTGGTTTCCTGTGTGCAAAACTTTCCAAAAAGCCGGGGTCCTGTGGTCGGAATCCTGAAGGGCTTTGCTGGATTAAGTGGTGCAATTCTGACTCAGATATACACGTTGATCCATCAACCGGACCATGCTAATATAATTTTCATGGTTGCGGTCGGTCCTGCCATGGTGGCTATTGCTTTAATGTTTTTAGTCCGACCCGTTGAAGGTCATAGACAAGTCCGGCCAACTGATGGCTTGAGCTTCACATTTATCTACAGCGTGTGCCTTCTGTTGGCAGCTTATTTGATGGGAGTCATGCTCGTTCAAGATCTAGTTACCGTGAACCATACTGTGATTACAATTTTTACGGTGATCTTATTCGTCATCATCCTTGTTCCTATTGTGATTCCCATAGTGTTAAGCTTCTCGCCAGAGCCAAGACTTCCAGAAGAAGAGGCACTCCTAGCCGAGCCACAGAAAGAGGAACCAAGGAAATCTGAGACGAATTTGCCCGAGGTAATATTCAGTGAAGTAGAGAGTGAAGTGGAGGATGAGAGAGCTAAGGGAGTAGACTTGCTTCCAGCATCAGAAAGGCACAAACGAATCGCGCAATTGCAAACGAAATTACTTCAAGCAGCTGCTGAAGGAGCAGTGAGGGTCAAGAGGAGGAGAGGTCCTCATAGAGGGGAGAATTTCACCCTGATGCAGGCTTTGATTAAAGCAGACTTTTGGCTTATTTTTGTCTCACTTCTTTTAGGTTCTGGGTCTGGTTTGACTGTGATCGATAACCTTGGTCAGATAAGCCAATCTCTCAGATATGACAATCAGCATATATTTGTTTCCATGATCAGTATTTGGAACTTTCTAGGCCGTGTTGGGGGTGGTTACTTCTCTGAGATTGTAGTGAGGTACAAAAAATGACTTCTTTTCTCCTCAGATGACAATCGAATCTTACTCCAATTCTTATTTTGCAACCTACCATTTCTCACCGTGATTTTTGCAGGGAATATGCTTATCCCAGACCCGTGGCAATGGCTGTAGCGCAGCTCGTTATGGCATTTGGGCATGTCTATGTTGCTTTCGCGCTCCCTGGGGCGTTGTATGTCGGTACTGTGCTAATTGGTCTCGGCTACGGGGCTCACTGGGCCATCGTGCCAGCTGCTGCTTCTGAATTGTTTGGCTTGAAAAACTTTGGCGCGTTATACAATTTCATCACAATGGCAAACCCTGCCGGTAGTCTTGTCTTCTCTAGCCTGATTGCTAGTTCTATATATGACCGTGAAGCAGAGAAACAAGCTCACCAACACAACAGCCAGTGGCACTACAGAGGATCAATCTTCTCAGCCATGTTCAGCGCAGAGGAACCACCGAAGTGTGAAGGTGCCATATGCTTCTTCCTTACTTTGGTAATAATGTCTGGATTCTGCTTGGTTGCTGTTGCCTTGAGCTTGATTCTTGTCTTTAGGACTAAGAGTGTATATGCCTATCTCTATGGAAAGTCCAGCACATCGACAAATTCGTAGCTGCCACACCCCATTTTAACGTTTGTGGAGTTTGTATAATTTATGTTTTGTCCAGAATTTTTTTCCCACGTTTTTCTTAAGATGTATCAAAGAATGATGGGAAGGCTAGAATAGTTTTAAGAAGTTTCCCTCAGGAGCAAGAAACAGAAACCAATTTGGTTTTCTCCGTTCGATATAGTCACCATCTTTAAGACTACATAAAGTTGAATTTGTTGTATTTTTTTCCAGTTACAGATTTGTTTCTTCAATGGCATGAAACATTTTGGATTTCTGTCAGTTTTATCCACTATTCTCATCGAGTGAATAAGAAAGTAGTGTGATTTTGTTCTACCTTAATTCTTTGGCTTCAAATATTGACAGCTCTCTTTAAGGCCATTTTTCTTTCCCTTATGTTTTCTCTTTGCCTGGCAACTTATGCTGGTTTCATTGACAGGAAGAACAAAGGGAGAAAAAAATCATGAATAATCAATATCAATATTCAAGGTCTGAATTAAAAATAAAGACGCTTGGCCTATTTACAGTGAAAGAAATTAACTGCACTCTAAATAAATAATAAAAATAATTAAGAACTAAACTAAATTCTAAACCTTATATTTACATTTAATTTAAGTTCTCTTATTGTTACATAGGCAAGCTCTTTCTTGTACTAGTATTTAGAGTGAGCAGAACACTGGAATTTACAATCACAAGGTAATTGTTGGTTAAGGAACTTCAGAGCACCTAATAAGACATAAAGAGACATTGCAGAATCTTAATTGCAAATCATAAACAGAACTTTCCAGACCAATGAATCAGAGCCGTGTAAGCAAGCTTTTTATGGCAAGTTTCTCCTTAAAAACTACTTATAATTTGCCTTTCTTTTCTTTTTCACCCTTACCCTTTACTTAATTCCAGCTTTTTATGCATGGTTAGTGGTAGGAGTACTCATTAGAACGTTAATATTACACTTTAAGAAAAAGGGTGTTTCTATTTCCCTTTATTTATTTGAGCAAATGCCCTCTTTTTTTGTCATGAGATCTATCTTTGTCTTACAAGTATTGGTAACTATAGATTTATTGTTCATCTGGGAATAGATATTTTGGTTTTACACGTTTGTCAAAAATGTATTACGGTGTTTCGGCAACCACGTTTGCCAGTTAATGAGTAGATGAATTGGACAAAATTGGAGACATTTGACAACAACAAAAGCTAATATCATTAACAGTTTTTGACAATACATAAACATGCAAAAAGTACAGCCATGAAGCAACAGCGACATGTTCCTATATTTGGTTTAGTCTGCAAATAAAGATTTTAGTAACAACTCTTCTTAGCAGAGCTTCCTCATATAATTTGTTGTGTTAGGTATGAAACTCGTTTATTTGTTATATTTGAATGACCTCAAAGAGCTTCACAAAGCTCATCTCTTTTAAGATTTGACTTAAAATACACATCATTAATTAGAAACAATGTAAAAAAGGTTATCAACACAGCCAACGTTACAAACAAACCGACTTTTTAAACTAAGATAATCAAATCTACAAGTTACAATAGCCGACAAGGAAATCATATATTATATAAACATTTGATTCCATCATATAATCACAAAAAAATGGCCTTTGTTTGACAGCTTACTCATCGCCAAATTGGTAATATCCAAGAGTTAAAGATAAGCTTTTATCTCTTTGATAAGGACTTGCATTTAAATATACATCAACAAAAATTAGAAAAAAAAAAATGTGAAGAGGTGATCAACACACACAACACTATAAATAACCTGTCTCTTTCAACGACAGATATTGAATTCAGCCATTTATGATTTTATAAAATTTCTTGTTGTACCTAAAAAAACTATTTTACATCTGAATGCATACCTTTCAAAATATCAAAGGCGTGAAAAGTATCCTTAAGAAATCAGAGGTACTTTTGGAATGTAAACAGGAAAAAAAAAAGTATTTATTATTTTTTTAACAAGAAAAAAGAAAAAAGAAAGTGCTTTTCAACTAATTCGAAGAATATCATATAAACATTTACTTCTATTATTTAGTCACGCAGAAATCCTTTGTTTGCCAGCTTACGCATTATCAAATTAAGAGGAAAAAAAAAACCAAAATTGTGGATATTGCACATAAACATTTCAGATATTCCTGTATATTTCTCCAAACAATGAGTTACACCACATGCAGAAGGCGTTATTTCAAGCCTTTTTATTCACGTAATCATTTAAATCTTTCTTCAGTGATGAGAAATCATATAAACAAGCTTGTTAAAAAAGACCCCCAAAAAATATTATATTTAGGAATTGAAGGCAGTGCAATCTTTTCTAATCTCACCAGCACTACCAGTCTTGACACCAACCCGACCGAGCTTGATCATCGCCGTGATGAAGGCACCATTAAACGCATCCGGGCTGTTGGCAAACTCTTGTACAGTAGATTGAGATTCCGAGATAGAGAAAAGCACTTGATCTGAAGTGAACAGACCCTTCTTGTTAACCAGATTTTGGTAGTAGGCATTGTCGAATGCCCTTGGAGTCACAGGGTCCATATCAATGGCTATGGACGGGTCCACATCTTGAGGGCACGACGCCTTCAACTGTTCGGCGTAGTTCGAGTCCAACGAAGGGTCGATAGGATTCGATTGTGTAAATGAGTAGATGCGGTTGGCGAAGCGGCTGCAGTGAGAAAACCCTAGTGTGTGTGCTCCGGACAATGCAATCATGTCTAGTTGTGTAAGATTGTTTTTGGCAAAGAGGGAGTTGAGCTCGTCCAGATGGGCGGTTGGCTGCGGCAGCTTCCCGGTGACTCGAGATGCTTTTGAGATTAGCCCGTCGCGGCGCCCTAATTCTACTTTGAAATCAGGTCCTCCGGCCTATTTACCAAAGGACGTTGAATTAAATTGTATGAAACTACATGATGAAATAAAGATTGTATGTTTTAAGCTCAAATGATTACTAGCATCAATAATAAACTTTGGACTCATAATTATCAGTAATATTGAATTAGCACAAAGGTTAATTTATGGATTATCAAAATTTAAGGTTACTTAATCAGTGACTGTTGGAGAAGAGTGGTATATAATTAGTATTACCAAAACGACAACATCTCTGGCGGCAAGGGCCAAAATGTCAGCGCAGGAGACGACGCCGGGGCATTGAGCTTCGATAGCTTGCTTGGCCTTGATAACCGTATCAAAACCATCTCCCGCCAATGAGAGATTGTCGTCGGAGTCTTTCTCTGCGTCCCCATTTGGTGACGCAATCATCACTGACGCATCGCATCCCTAACACAACGTCAAAAGTTGTTACAAAATTATAAGAAGACACTTTTTTCTGTTAATTAATTGACGTCTATTTGTTAACCACAATCTGCTCTACAACAAAACAAAGAAAAAAAAAAGGGGGGAGGGAAAGTTGTGGTGCTCTCGAGTATATCTAGAAGTCTTATGTCGATTATAAAAAAAAACAGGAAAAAAAAGGTCTTATGTCTATTAACCAAAGAAATAGAAGTCCTATGTTTCTACTCTACATATAATAATCTTGAAATTTGTGTACCTGGTGATGTCATTATGCTAATTAAGTCTTTACTCTTTATCTAGGTCGGCTGACTAGGTTAAAAACAAAAACAGCCTCCAATTGCGACGGTCCATTAATAAACTTATTACCACGAAAATTAAGTTAAAACGAAAAGAACATATAGAAAAGAAAAGAAGGAAAGGCCAAAAGAATGAGATAAAAAGTAGGTGTACATATACGTGATATAACTATTAGCCTCTAATAAGATTTATACGCAAGTCACCATAACTCAAAAATACAATTAATAAGCCCATAATCTCCATCTTCTCTACTAACTAATTAAAGATAGTGAAGCTAATTTTTTTCTTAAAACAAATGGAAAAGCATATAATGTTGACAGAATAAAAACACTAGCTAACATTAATTTAATGTCATGATCAATATATATATATATATATATATATATTTCCAAATAAAAGTTTCTCATTCTAACAGTAATATACCATAGCTAACAAAACAGATTTATTACAAAGAAATTCAATTACAAAAATGCAGATGCATACATATATACACACACACACACAATATCCATCATATATATATAGATATATATATATATAGTACGTGTAAGTACCTCAACAAAGCAATCGTGGAAAAAGAGGCGAAGAGTAGACGGAATAGTGGTGAAGGTCTGGATAAACTTTGTAGAAACACTTTGTTTGACGATGAACTCAACGTTTGGACAAGTCTCGGCGTAGAAGTTCTCTGTCAACTGCGCATCATATCCCCTAAAATTTCCCATCACCGTCAAAACCATTATTACCAACGTCAACATTATCAATGATCTTGATCTTCTCACCTCCATAATTTCCTACCTTAATTCTCTCTTAATTAGTATACCTCTAGTAGTACTAAGCTAATAATAGTATACTCAGCTAATAATCTGTTCACCACTCATCTCTCCCTTCTCTCTCTTTATATATACTAGTAATACTCAAGCCAAACGGCCGATGACTAATAACAAATATAAATAACAAGAAAGCAAGTAGAAGAGAGCTAAGAGAATGACGACCCTTGAAACAATTATATATACTAGTTAGATTAGATGTCAGCACGTGTTACTTGGTCCAAAGCGACATTTCCGAAAGTTCAATGTTTACTTACACACAAGTATATAAAACGGGTATTTATATATGTGTGTAATAAATCTAGAATTAGTATGAGTTAAATTGTCACATTAGACGACGATTTCACTAGACATAATTTACATACACAAATACAAATAGGGTATGTGTATATTCTAAGGTGTTGGGTAATGGTCATTTTCGTCAACATCCATTTTCTACTATAACATAAATATATTGCATTGCTTTACACTATCCCAGTTGTCACTTAGAAAATTATTGTTTCTATTTAGTCTTGGGAGTTAGGTGCTTTACTTCTTATGTACAAATTCATGACTCAAGAAGAGATTCATTTGAAATAAATGCAAGCAATGGTAGATATATCATATAATTTTGCCCATGCTTTTGACGTAGTTTCCTAATTGTCATATATCAGTCTTAACCGACGGCTGACATATTATTGGCTCATCATGGCCGTCTAATCATCATCGGCTCTTCAATTTGTTGATCCTTGCAAGTCAAATACAATAAACAGCTGTATATTAACCATTGTGTAATGCGTATAGGTCTTAACTTGTGCTTTTTATATTATATATTTGGTAATGAATATTCTTACTATCCATTCAAAAAAAAAAAAATATATATATATATATATATATATTCTCACTTTGATTGAATTGGTATTATTATTCCCATGCGTTTCAGCTTGTACGCGCGTGCATGAATGGGTCTTGCCCTGGAAATTAATAACGTACAGAACTCAATTTTATAAATTACGTGTAAGTTTAAATGAAAATGACAAAGTAACAAATCCCAAAATCTGTACAAGCTAGTCTAAAGGAGGCTTTCATTTAGTTAGAGTTTGAAATCGTGTACAAATGACGTGTCCAAAGAAACTACAAACTAATAATGAATATATACATATATATATATATATTGGAGAAATTTAGCGTGGCATATGGTGTAGACATGCCATAGAGCATCAAAGAATATTTGGTAGATAGTGTCATCTTTTCCTACTCTACACAATAATAGCAATTTCTCAAATGTGATCATTATAAGAGTCATCATATCATATGAACTCCATCATGATTAACTTAGCAATTAATATACGATTTTGATATGCAATTTAGAGCCGTATCGAATGTATTTTTTTTAATACCTAGTAGAAATGTCAACTACTTGAAACTGTCTAGAAATCTAACAATTGTAATTGTCTATTGAACTTAAGGCAAAACAAAATATTGTAGTTATTTAACCCCTCGTGATTGTTCTTGAAATTGATTAATGAAATTTTCTTGAGGACTAGTTCAATTAGCCGCGCCCGTGAAGTTGTTAAAAACAATCTTCTTCTACCTATGGTGCACCCAAAATTGCAAAACTTAGGATAGAGTAGGTTCTATATAATTTAAGAAAACATTTCTTCTGTTTTGATGATTTTATATATATTAAATTACAGTGCATATTATTATACAAACGTTACTACGTGATTCTTTATAAGTGTTTTTTTTTAGCAATATGCTAGAATGACTATCCAATAAAATGAAATTAGTAAAATGACCTTCTTCATTTTTTATGAAGAACGACCACTTAATCATTTTTTGTAAAAAGTGGTCATTTTACAAATAAAATTTTTTAAAAAATTATTTTACTAATAAAACTTTTCTATTGAGTTATTTTTACAAAGCCCTCGTTTTTTTTTCCCTTATTTACCTTGTCATATTTAAAGATTATATAGATTTTTTTGGTAGGGCAAAAAAAGATGTCCAATTGTTACTACGTAGTTTTAAATAATCAGATTTCTTTTTTAGATGGTATATTACTTACACACTATTTGATGTTTAAAATTAATAACTATGAATTGATCTGACATTTCACTAAGGTATTCTTTGAGTTTTTAAAAAAAAAAAAAAAAAAAAAAAAAAAAAAAAAAAAAAAAAAACTTTCAATAAAGAAAAAGGGAAAAAATGATGAAAGAAGGAAAACGTCAAGATTATAAAGAAGGAAGTAAGAGAGAATAGGAACTTGAAGAAATTATATGAATAGTTTTTCCATCATTTCATTGATAGGAAAGGTACATTATATATACAACATATTGTTTACAAATATAGAAATAATATTACAGCTATACAAATATCCTAAATATTGAATGAAATACATATTTACAGCTTGTCCAATATCGGAGATTGTCAACTTTCCTTATTATGCCCCCGCAAGATGGACGTTCCGGAGTGACGCCAATCTTGGCCCATAAATTGTGCAATCGTTTGGGTGAAAGTGGCTTTGTTAAGGCATCTGCAAGTTGGTCTTCAGAAGACACATAAGAGACACGTAAATCACCATTTTGAACCTTGTCACAAACAAAATGGAAATCAATAGCAATGTGTTTCAAGCCGGAGTGAAAAATGGGTTTGCACAAAGATACGTTGTGCTAACATTATCACAATAAATTGTTGGTGTAGACTGAAGCATAATGCCAAGTTTATGTAAAAGACTTTGAATCCAAGTAACCTCTGTTGCGGCCGAAGCAATGACTCGTTACTCAGCCTCTGTGGAAGATCTTGCAACGGTACATTACTTTTTTTGAACTCTAAGAGACGGCATTAGAACCAAGAAACACAATATAGGCACTAGTAGACGTGCGATCATCTACATTCTCAGCCCAGTCGGCATCAGAAAAAGCATGTAAAGAAAGAGGTAAGTCATGTTGTAAAAACAACCCATGAGAATTAGTGTCTCGAAGATATCGTAGAACATGCTTGACAATGGACCAGTGCCCAGATGTAGGTCGGTGCATATATTGAGACATCTTGTTGACAGCGAAAGCAATATCAGGCCATGTGAGGGATAGATATTGCAAGGCACCAATAATAGATCTGTATTGAGTAGCATCAGTGAGAGACGTGCCATCAGTGAGCATAGGGACATGACTAGGAGACGACTGGTGGACACTAAATGCGTAAAAGTTGAAGTGATTGATGGCCAAGGCGATGATGCCATTTTGAGAGTGGAGCTTTGACAATTGAGAAGGCAAATAATGCCATTTTTTTAGAGATCTGAGATGGCCACTCATAAACGCCATCTTTAGTTGTTCCTTGCAGAAGTATTGTCCCTGATCGATGATCCTTCACATAAAAATAAGTAGGTGAGAATTCAATAGTAGCATTATTAGAAGCACAAAATTTAGAAACTGAGATCAAATTTTTTTTCATATGGGGAACACATAAAACATTGGATAAGTTAAAACAGTGAGATGAGGAGGGTAAGGTGGTAGAGCTGGTATGAGTGATGGAGAGACCGGTACCATCACCAATTAGGATGTCATCATTGCCAGTGTATGGTGAGTTAAGGGATAAGTTTTGAAGGTCAGTGGTCACATGGTGAGAAGCGCCAGAGTCTAAAAGCCAAGTAAAGGTAGAGGGAGCATATGGTGTGGCATAGTGGGCAGTAGATTGAGGAGTAGGAGGTCGGTTGGTTGAAGGTTGTGGATGAGAGTTCCAAGGTATATATTTAAAGGATGTGCAACACTTAGCAAAGTGACCTTGTTGACCACATAGCTGACACTTGCCGAGGTAGGGACGTGGATTATGGTTTTGAAAAGTGTTGTTTTGTAGAAAAGGGGGTCGATTTTGGTATTGGTGTGGTGAAGACGGGTTCGGTTTTGGTTATATGGATTTTGTTGGTAAGGCCGGTATGGATTGTGATTTTTCTGGGGTTGAGAGTTTGGTTTTTGGGCAAGGTTAGCAGAAGCAGGAAGGTTTTGATTTTTCTTGGATTTATATTTCAGAAAGATTTCATGATTGATGAGTTTCTCATAAAGTTCTTCAAAAGTAAAGGAATTTTCACGAACGCGAACATCATCTGAGATACTCGTGTACTGGTCATCGAGTTCGGCAAGAACTTTGAGAGTGAGGTCATCAGCGTGGATGGGTGCACCTAGCATGGCGAGTTCATCAGCGATGCTTTGATTGTCTGCATATATTCCGTGTTTGATAGAGAATCCTTAACAAGGATGCGTAAATTTTCTTTAAGCTGAGGGATGCGACCACGAGATGGTTTGGCATGAGTATTCTCCAAAGTTGTCCGAGTGAGGTCATCAGCGTGGATGGGTGCACCTAGCATGGCGAGTTCATCAGTGATGCTTTTGATTGTCTGCATATATTCCGTGATTGATAGAGAATCTTTGACAAGGATGCGTAAATTTTCTTTAAGTTGAGGGATGCGACCACGAGATGGTTTGGCATAAGTATTCTCCAAAGTTGTCCATGCTTCATGAGAAGTCTTTACAGAGGCAATGAATGGAATGAGAGTCGGTGTGAGAGAACAGGCAATTGCATGAAGGATGAGTTTGTCTTGGCGAGTCCATAGCGAATACTCTGGATTGGGTCGATTGTCTGCAATCATGGCGGGTGGGCAAGGGCATGTTCCATCAACAAAGCCCATAAGATCGTATCCAACTAGTAAAGCATCAAACTGGAATCTCCAAGAGGTATAATTAGTTGACGTAAGTTTGAGTGGCGTTTGAGTGGCATTTGAGTTGCTGAGTTAAGAGCAAATAGAGATGTGGAATTGTTTGAAGGTTGAAGAATAATGATGTTGGGATTTGAGAGAGACATTGTGGAGTTGGATGAGGTGGGTGTGGTAGGTGTAGTGGACACTATTGGAGTACTGTGAGATTCGGCCATTTGGATAGACGAAAGAGAGAATTGGCTCAATGAGAGTCAGTGCTCTGATATCATAAAAGAGAATATGAACTTAAAGAAATTATATGAATAGTTTTTCCATCATTTCATTGATAAGAAAGGTACATAATATATACAATATATCGTTTACAAATATAGAAATAATATTACAGCTATACAAATATCCTAAATATTAAATGAAATAAATATTTACAATTTGTCCAATATCGGAGACTGTCAACTTTCCTTATTAGGAAGCATAACTATTCGCTATTTTGTTTTAAAGCGTTCTTTAACATTTGATGCAGAGAAAAGAAGATAAATATATATATATATATATATATATTGCGGGAAATAAAGAAAAGGCAGGATTTATACCAAATATACTCCATGATCAAATTCAAAAAATCTGAAAATTTACTCTAATTTAGTTATTGATCAAATTTTATAAAATTAAAATTTATCAGATTTATTCCTAATCAAATTTGGTAAATACCATTTACCCATGCTCAATTTTGATACATCCAAAATTTTATTGAATTTAATCTCATGAAGCTTTAAATTATACGCGTTTGTTTAAAATTTAGTATTCTTTATTGACATAGTATTTACTTTTTTATTTAATAAACTCATTTTATACTCTTATCATCTTTCAGAAGTTGCCCGGTAGCAACAATTATAGAAATGATTACGTTATATGTCAAAATTATTATGGTGGAATTGAAATTCAGTGAAATTTATAGAATACTTTAAAAATAGCAAAAGTAACATAGCAATTATTAGTCATATTTTATACTAATTGTGTAATAATTATTTTAACGATATTAAAAAAATTTTAAAATATATTTTGAAATTTTTTGATATATCATTGAAATTTTGTTATATATTTCTCAAAACCTCTTGTTATAATTTCACTTTAGACAATTTTTAAAAATACATCTTGAAATGAAATTCTATTTTATTTATACCTCTAAATTTTCTCCTTTTTGCTTTTGGGCCAAAGTGAGCGCAAACTTGAGCTCAACTGAGGGCAGTTGAGTTGGGCTAATGGGAAAAAAGCCGAATGCGTATTCAAACTTAGAAGGCGCAGTAGATGATGGTTAAAGATCCTTCTCAGCCTTCCCGTCTTCCGCTCAAATATTGCGATCAGTGTCCCTTCTTCACCGACAGCGTCAAGACAAAGGCTAAGGCAAACACAGAGGCCATATCCAATTCCGTGGCCATGGATGTTGAAGAAACACAACTAGAGCTAGGGTTTCCTTGCTGGATTCCCGTCCGTCGACGATTCGATCCTGACTCTCCTTTCTTTGCTTCTGGAAACATCGAAAGGGAACTTCTCGCCAAACAGGTCCCTTCTTTTTTCTCTTTCGATTTCGATTTCTTTCGGAGCCGCAGAAAATTAGATAGAAAGATTTAATTATGCGTGTCGTTTGTCACAATTCCATGTCCTTTGGAATAGAATAAATTTATATACATCGTCTTTGCACCCCCATTTTATTTATCGTTTTGATAGTAAAATTTTTAGCTTTGCAAGTTAGTCGACCTAAAAGTTGCAGCTGAACTGAGAATTCGAGTTTTTTTTTTTTTTTTTTTTGGGTTGAATTCTCTCAATTTAAAACATAGGAAATGTCGTGATGAAATTATTTTGATTTGACGAAAACAAACTAAAATCATGTTTTCGCTTTATGTTTTTGCGCTTGTTTTGATGTTTACTGTTCTAGCTCTCCAGGTTGCACTTGATTTAACTGAAGATGAAAAGCATTACCTTCGGAATTTTGTGGATGAAGATTTCAGGTATGAACTGTTACATTTTTTTTGTCTTGTAAATTTAGTCAGATACTTATTCTTTTCTATTTTTTTTATCTTCATTTTTGTGCTTAATTTTGAAGTTATAGGGGACTTAGAGTGTGCAGAAGTAATAAATTATGGTGTTTAATTCGGTTTCAGAGAGGTCGAGGAGGATGCTGAGTTCTGTGGCCAATTTCCATGTTAATTAGGGCTACTTTTGTTGATTTAAGTACTAATTAAAGCTTCGTAGTCTTTAATGGGATTTCTTTTTCTCCTTTCTGAAAGTTGCTTGTTAGTTATGTTTCTTAGTACTATTCAGTTTTTCATTCACTGCAATTCCAATGGGATAGTTTCTATTTGCAAATGACTAAAAGATATTCCAAAAACGTTATTGCTTTGAATGGTTTTATGATTGCTTCTGTTTTATTGGTACCCAATACTTGTTTGTACCACAATAAACCTTCTCATGCTTGCATTTTTTGTGATTTATCTCCTTGGTGTTTTCATATGTTTGTTCATTGAAACTCATATTTGCTTTTGCTTAACTTTTCAACTCTAATATAATGTATGCATAGGGGAGTTTTCTGTTCCATTGTTGGTTGTGATGCACGTCTGACTTCGCTAGAGGATTTCGAAGATCATTATAACGCACGGCATACTGCATCGTGCTCAGTGTGCTCTAGAGTTTATCCTACATCGCGACTACTCAGCATACACATATCCGAAGCACACGACTCTTTCTTTCAAGCGAAAGTTGCACGAGGCTATGAGATGGTATTGATCTCTTTGCCTATGTTTTAGTGTCTTCTAACTTCTAAGGACAATAATTACGATTCAATGCCTTTTAATTACTAGTTTCTAATTGTTCTTCTGGTGGCAGTATCAGTGTCTTGTTGAAGGTTGTAGTCTGAAATTTAAGACCTACAAAAGTCGGCATCAGCATCTAGTGGACAAGCATAAATTCCCTAGTTCATTCGAATTTTTTAAGAAGGCCCATCCGTCCAAAAAACAGAGGCAGAAACAGCAGCGCAAACAATCTATTAACAAGAAGGCAGACGCTTCAAGTATGGAAGTTGAAAATGAAGCCATTGATGATCTTGTTTCCGCCGTTTCCAAACTGAGCACTTCGGATTCACCTTCATCCATCAGCTTTGGTCGCCGCCACACTCGTGGTTTAACATTTGTCCCTCGAGCTGTTCAACGTGACAAAAGGCCAGACTCCACATGACCAGGAACGAAGACATAGCAAAGCATACAATTCATTGAGTTCAATTTTTGCCTTCCGTTACTGTCTTCCTACTGGCAATTATAGGGATGGCTTCTCCAACCAGCTTTATGGCTAATTTTGCAGTTTGAGGACAGAATTTCCAGCTTTAGTTGATATCAACATGGTTAATCGAAATCTTCATGCGAAGCATCCATGGGAGAGCAAGTAGCCAATTTGGAGTCGATCTGGTTCAGACACTCTCAGTTATATGAGTGTCGTTGTGAGAATGATGAATTTAGGAGGAATTACACCCGTTATATTTGAGTCTAAAAAAATCGTTTTGAGATTTTGGTCTCTGGTGTGTAACCTTTCACATTGATTATAACCGTACCATATGGCTTCTGATTAAAGTAAAACACTTTGCTATTGTTTGAAATGGCATTATTCAATTGACCCACACCTTTGTATAACCTAGCAGAGTTTTTGTTTTGTTCTCTTATCTATCCTCCAGGAATATATTAAATCTTTCTATTTCTTATTAAAAAGTACTAGTTCTTCATACTAAATCTTCCCGAGAATGTGAAGAGATAATAATTATGCCAAAAAAAAAAATGGAGGATAGTTAATTTAAAATACAAATTAAATTTAGTCTATTAAAGATATTAATTTTGAATCATAAAAATTTATGATGTTGTCGAGAGAATTCTGATATTAAGAAGTATTGTTTGAGAATTTTGAGTAGTAAAAGTTGATAATGTGGTCAAGGGTGAAAACTATTGTTTGAGAATTTTAACATAAAAGATGAAGGGAGACTAATTAAAGATTTAATTTTTACATGGTGAAATAAAGAAGTTTTTAAGGATCCGGGCAAGAGTAATGTTTGGGGACATTTTTATGGTCAACAGGACTCTGTGGTCAAAATCTGAGAAAACGAGGGGTATATCTGTCAATGCGAATATATATTCTCCCGAGCTATACGGTACACATTGCACTAGTATTAAGTACCTTCAGGAATATAGCCAATTCATCTTCGTTTTCTTCCGCATCAAAAAATCTGATTTTTGTGAAGCAGAGAGAAAGAGAGAGAGAGAGAGATGGACGCCATCGACTCAGTGTTCGATCCTCTCAGAGATTTCGCGAAGGACAGTTTTCGTCTCGTCAAGCGCTGCCACAAGCCCGATCGCAAAGGTAATTCGCTTCAATTCGATGAAATAGCTCAAGAATTTTTGGGAATTTTGGTTGTAATTTATGCAAAAAAGAAAACCCTAACAAAGCCGGTGCGGTACTGTCTGGGATCGCAGAATTCACGAAGGTGGCGTTCCGTACGGCGATCGGATTCGTGGTGATGGGATTCGTCGGTTTCTTTGTGAAGCTGATCTTCATCCCCATCAACAACATCATCGTCGGATCTAGTTAGGTAAGGATCTGAATTTTCACCACTTTTTTTTTATTTTTTTGGCTTTGCATGTGCTTCATTCTATTCTGTTTTTCTTTTCTTTTCTTCCTGATCTATTATTCTACTTGATTTTGTTAACTTTTCTTTGATTCGATGCCTATTCGAGGTGCGACAAGAAAAGAAAAGGATAAGTGCCCAATTAAGAAATTGAACCTTTTCTATCCCTCTGAAATCCAATCAAGGAATTGAAGTCGTTTGAATGCTTCTATTTTATCTCATGAGACCTTAATATAGAATTCATGATTACTAATTTTGTATTTATTGTAAGCCGATTTGAGGTGGGAAAAGAATAAAAGAAGGGGGAAAGAAAAGATATTTACTTTAGGCTTTTAAGAAATTGAATTTTTTTATGCCCTGAAAGCAATCAAGGTATTGAACTAAAGTTTTATGCTTCCATGTTATTGGCTCAATAGATTTGACTGTAGATTTCACGTTTTTGAATCTGTTTATTTATTGGTTTTATGTTCCCATGCAATTGTCCCATTAGAATTTTTTTTTTGGTCCGAGTATTTTTAGAGGACACAAAGGAGCCTTCTATTACTCGAATAGTTTATAACCTTCTATCACTCGAATAGTTTATCTTCGCATTGAATGAATGGCTGATTGTTGGTATGTATTTGCCTAAATCTTTGCTTTTTATTTCAGAACCTTGATAACAAGTTTGTCTAATTCATAATTCGGGTTGTTTCTTTGGTTCTGTGGTCGTAAAGTTTGTCCTGGTTATTATGAGCTATGAATCTTTTAGTCTGTACACAATCATACATGCATATGCATATGGAATTGTTCAATTTCGTTTAGGACGTTTCAGAATGAGAATTTGAAGTGAATGGAATAACTACCATCTCTGAGTCTTATCATTTTCCCTGACTTGTTTAAGTAATTTTGTATAGTGTCTTTAATTCGTGGTTCTTGAGGAGAAGAAATATTGATTGCCGTTGTTCGTTCATTCACGCATGAGTCTTATCATTTTCCAGTGCATTATAAACTTTTCTAAATACTTTGGTTGAACTGCAGGTCATTTTGTTAGGGGCAAGAAGGAAACTCTTAGCGAACACTGTGGTGGAAAAAAGATCTTGCTACCAAGTGCATTAGCATGTTGAAAGATTACTCTACTGCTTCTCTAGGCTTGTTTAACATCTTCTTGTTTCGTAGACTGTTTAGTAGTTTTTTTTGGCTCAATAGTTTTGTTGTAACTTTTGGAGTTCTGAACATGTCATATTCCCATCTGGGAAAATCGGAGTTAAAACGTTAGCCAAACAGGATTGTAAGTTCAGAGAAACCATTTTATCCTCAACAAAAAGTACAGTGGAAATTTAAACCATCAACGTTGTAGTTTGTCATGAAAACGTTCAAATTGCTTCTTTTTTTTCTATTTTTTGCCCTTTTTGTCAGCCGTCAGAATTTTTTAAGACAATCAGAAGTTGAAAACTGTGGTTGGCAGAAGAGAATTGGAATTTTAAAGATATCATTTCATGCTCTAGAAAAGCAACGCCCCTTTGTCTTGGTTCATGAAAACATCATACCTGGAGTGATGATGCAAATTGCAAGGCAAAATTGATTGCTTAGGTTATTTTTCTTTCAATCAGTGGATATGGAATATGGTATTCATATTTTGTTTTTCTCAAGTTACCAAACCACGGTATCTGCATAGCTTAATGAGAGAGAAGCGGAATGAGGATTTAGAATTTGCAAAACTTGACACAGCAAGAGTTCAAATTTACAAGGGATCTACATGAAATTAAAATTAAATTAAAAAAAAAAGAAATTAATCAAAGGCGCTGAAATAACCCTATCTGCATGTCAGATTACAATATAATGCAAAAAGAGTTGGTCAAGGAAGTTGCTTCCAAGAATCAGCAAACTGGGTTGTCATCTGTAGCATCATCGTTTGCAGAAGCAAGTACTAGCTGAGGTTCAGGAACAATGCCTTCCTGCCTCGCCTTCCTGCGTTCGCGCTGCATCCTGAAATACTCCTTCTTTCTAGCTCTGTAGCTGTTGGGGTTCTCAGGCTGCACTTCTCTTGGGTACACACTGATCTGCAATTATCATAAATACAAGATCCCGGTTAATATAGAATTGTAGAGCTTTGGAAGTTCTAAATAACGGCAGGAACTAGAAACATCACTATTAAGTATTAACCACCTTCTTCCTGTCAGGACCAAACTTCTCGAATTTTACAAGCCCATCAATCAAGGAGAAGATTGTATGGTCCTTGCCGAGACCTACATTCTTTCCTGCATGGAACTGAAATATACGCCATAAGGTCAAAAGAAGGAATTTACGCAGCAATAAGGTTAACAAGAATCACATGAAGGAAGCCAAAGCAAATTGCTTTAAAGTAGGTATTCTTTGTTGTTAATGAGGCACTTCTAACGCAACACTAAACGAACGTTTCTCATCCTATAATCTTCTTAGGCAAGGGCTTTCTCTAAGACTCGCACTATGAAAACTGTATCGCACAACAGATGTCAACATTATTCATCACACGCCAAGAGTTGAGAAAGTAACACTACAATGTCAAGCTGGCCATCTAAATTCATTCCTAGAATTGATCATATGATTCACAATGCCACACTAATAACAATACCAGAATTGCTCCTTTCATGATAATATATGGAAGCTTTTCTCAAAAAACCACTTCACTTATCTCTCAGCAAATCAAACCTAAAAATCAGCAAGGCAGCAACCTTGTTTCAACAAGGACAAACGAGTTACAGAACCAACTAGTGTTCTGTAACAATGTTTCTGACGCAACGGAATGGAGAAAAACGGGATTTTAGCGGCCTAACCTGAACAGAGAATTCCCTAATCCACCTAAAAGAAACCCCACGAAGGAGAAAAACCCCCAAATTAGAGAAAAAACTCAACTCTAATTCAATTATCAAAATATTCAAAGTCTTTTATTACAATTAGTAATGTGGCTATTTATAGCTCACATATAAAACGATAATAAAATATCAACTATGACAAACGACAAAATAGTAAAAGGAACAACAATTATACTAAACATAAAGACTTTAGCAAAATCACTAATTTTATTATTCTTCCTACATCAGTTCCGGTTTAAGTATGCTAGGGCATTCGGAAGAAAAGAGCATAACTTCCCGACTTCAATTTTCTTAACACAAACAATTATCAAAACCCTTGGCACTACCAATCCTAAATCAGATTAACAAGTTAAAAATAACCCTGAATTATTCATAATAGCACATTCAAACTATTATACAGCAGCTCACAGATTGGCTTCTAATTCTACTGCAAACCAAATAACATTTTTACACTGCCCTTTTGCTGAAGAAAAAGGTACATAATCTCGTTATATTTGGTATTAATACTCTCCTCGAATCCTTTCAATTATAGAAAGATCAAAATTAGAGTCAAATATAGGGACAATTTTGATTCCCTCCCTCTAATCTCTTACCAAACCAAAGAACCATAATTCTTAAAATCCATCCACTAATCCTCCCAATTCCCAGCGCAATCTATTTCTTTCCACTTTCCCTCCTACCAAACAAGCCCACAGTATGGAAAAAAAAAACAAACAAATAAATAAATAAATAGGAAAAAGGTAAGACCTTGGTGCCGCGTTGGCGAACAATGATGGAACCAGGCTTGGCGACCTGATCGCCGAAGATCTTGACGCCGAGCCTCTGCCCTTTGGAATCTCGACCGTTCTTTGTACTCCCGGCACCTTTCTTGTGCGCGCTTTCGATAATCAGCGGAAACCTCTGCGGACACGAGAACGACAGCTTGTTGGGTCCCACAACCAGTGAACCAAAATTCCCTCTGACGAAAGACGACGATGAAGACGAAGAGCTCGAGCTCATAGACAGCCCTTTGAACGCGCCCACCAGGTTGAAGCTCATCGATACTGCCGCCATTTTTTATCTTCTTCTTTTTTCTGAAATAAAAAAAAAATTAAAATTCAGATGGAGAATTTACGAATTGTAAGAATGTAGATGAGAAAATTATCGGAATTTTTATTAGGGTTTTCGTCTTCGTACCTCTCTCCGTGGCTGTAGAAGGAAAAGCCGAGCTTTTTGTGGATAAGAAAAACAAGAAGAAAAAGAAATGGTGAAGAAAGAAGTAGAACTATGAATCAGCAAAGGCCACGTTTTGTCTGAATGGTCCACGTCAGCAAGTCGTTTTTGCTAATAGACAATGGACCGTGAGTTTAGGGCTTTTGTAGCTGGGCCTATCTTGCCTACTTACCAACCCAATTAACTACATATGGGCCTGAGCCTTGGATGTTGTGTAGAAAAATTAGTCCGGATTTTTACCTTTATTATCTTTTTAGTAAAATAATTATATTAATAAATAAATATTTATTAAGAATAAATAGTAAAAGTACGTACTCATACACTTAAGAGATAAATTCTTTATTTTTTCAAAAATTTTTATATATTATGGGTGAGAATAATGAATGGGAAATTTAGAGGAATGCTAATGGCTGGT